GACACCAAAAAAGAAAAGAGCTCAAAGAAATGAACTCTCTAAACTTGAAAAAGAAAAACACAGAAAGCAAAAATATCGTCAAGAATGGGAGAGCAAGAAGGAATATAAAGGTTGGCTTAAACCTGAAAGGGATAATCCGTTTAAGGCCAAATGTATCATATGTAACGTGAGTTTTGTCTCCGAACTTAGTTGCATAAAAAAACATTGTAACAGTTCTAATCATATAAAGTCACTAAAATGTAGTTCATCTCACTCTAAAAACATTATGTCAAATTTTCAATCGATGGCGACACCAAATCCATTAAATAATGCAGTCAAAACCGCAGAAATTAAATTATCCTCTCTTTTAGCTGAACATAACGTAGCATTTTCATTAATCAACCATTTAGAGCCCTTATTAAAAGAAATTTTTCCAGACTCTAAAATTTGTAAAGAAATGAAATTGAAACGAACTAAAGCTACAAACATTATCACAAATGTAATTGCTCCTGTTGAAAAAGAAATGTTAAGTCTAAAATTGAATAATAGTAAATTTTCAATTATGATTGATGAGTCAACCGATGTTGCTTGCATATCTACTATGTGTGTTGTAGTAAGGTTTTTTGATACAGAGTCCAAGATCATTGTAACAAGGTTTTGGGACTTAGTACAGGTCTTTGATGTAAAAGATCCAGAGACAGTTGATAAAGGAGCAACTTCGGAAAATCTGTTTAATAAATGTATTCAGTCATTTGAAAATTATAAAGTTGATGTAAAAAATATTGTTGGATTTGGTTCAGATGGCTGTTCGGCAATGATGGGGTCTAAAAATTCTGTTTCAAGCCGGTTGAAAACCTCATTCCCAGGAATCTTTATAATGAAATGTATTTGTCATTCTCTACATTTATGCTGCAGCGAAGCATGTAAGTCCTTGCCCCGTAGAATTGAAGATTTTGCCCGAAATGTGTTTAATTTTTTCAGCCACAGTAGCAAGCGACAGAGCCAATTTATAGAGTTTCAAAATTTCTTTAATATTTCTGTACATAAATTGTTGCACCCATCTCAGACGAGGTGGTTGTCACTATTTGCTGTTGTCCAGCGTATTTTGGAACAGTGGATGGCTTTGCATTCATATTTTAATGAAAAGTGGTTTTCAGAAAAACTTGTTGCAGCAGAAAATATTTATACCCAACTGAATGACCCATTTACAAAAATGTATTTTTTTTTCTTGGAATGGGTGTTGCCAAAATTCAGTACATTAAACCAATATTTCCAAACTGAGCAAGTAGTATTAAATAATTTAAATGAAAAAATGGAATTAGTTTACAAGGAATTATTACTATGTTACATGAAAAGGGACTATGTTCTCCAAACTCCATTAGCTACATTGAACCCTTCTGATCAAAGTAAATTTATCAGTCCTTCAGAAGTTTATTTAGGAGTTAAAGTCCTTACTCATACAAAAACCGCAGCTATAGTACAAAGACCAGATTTACTAAAAGAATTCATTTCTAGATGTGTTGATTTTCTGAAAGTTAACTGTGTACAAATAAATAAACGTTATGATTTTTCTAATCCAATTTTACGATTATTAAATTTGTTAACACCAAAAGTAGCTCTTTCTTCAAAAACTAGGATTGAATATCCATCTGTGTTATGCCTTACACATCTACTGCCTAGAATGGTGAATCAAGATCAAATTCAACTTATTGATGATGAATGGCGAACATTACCATTAGTGGCTTTACCAGAAAATATTAAACTAGAAAATCAGCCTGATAAATTTTGGTCATTAATACTTGATTTGGAATCAGCTCAATTCAAGGAACTTGCTACATTTGCTTTGAATGCATTTTGTCTGCCTCACTCTAATGCTAGCTGTGAACGAGTTTTCAGTAAAATTAATTGTATTAAAACAAAATCTAGAAATCGATTGATTGTTAAAACGGTAGCTTCCACAGTTATAGCTAGTGAATGCATTAAAAAAGAAAATGGGAACTGCATTAAATTTAAAGTAAAATAATTTGCATCAAAATGCATAATAATTGCATATTTCGGGGTAATTACATAAAATGTGCATATTTAATAAATACTTGATAAAATATTTTAAATTTTACTCAAAGTTTGATATACATGCCGATTTTGCCCGATCGCCGACGTTCCTGACAAATATAATTCGACCGAATAAAACAAAATATTTTATAAAAGGGAATTCCGTGACAGACGTATAGACGCATTATAGACGTTATCTTATAGATAAATATATAATATATATATATATATCATAATCTGCGAGAATTTTGCGAGAGTTAAATAAATTTGTGTGTACGGTTTTGAACCAGAAAAACGAACTTGGTTGTACGGTTTTGAACGAGAAAAACGAACTTTTTGATAAGACTGTACGATCGTTACAATTTCATAATCTGGCAACACTGACGTCGACTGGCGGGCTCATCGTATTTATACTCGTATGTCGGGAATATGCCGGGTCACTGGGATTTCACTATATTTGTATACTTGTCTATGATTGGGATTTGGGACTACTATGCATCGTCAGTCGTCATATACTCGCATCATTCAATCAATCAATAATCATTTATTATTTAAATTTAGTTTAAACAACGCACAGGCGCTTAGCGTTAGCAAAAAACCAAATTTAATATGGGATTAAGGCCGCATAGTATTAGGTCCTATAGACTCCTAGCAAAAGGCCAATAGGGTTTGAGCCTACGACATAAGTTCGCTAAAGGCACAATATTTGGAAGTACAGATTTTATAAGTTCCTAAAAAAATGTTTTTAAGAAGTTTTTCATACAATACATCAGATAATTTTAATTAAAATACAACCTAATGGTATTAAAATACTGCATTACGATAAAATCGGACCAGAAAATAAATGTATATGAAATTGTTATTACTACATACAAATATTTATACTACTTAGGTACAGTTTACAACATTACAACTACATACGGCCCTACCTAATACCATTGATTATAAATACTAGTAACGCAAATAGTAAAAACCAGCGTTGTTTTAATGATATACGTAACAAATTGTACATATTTAAATTTTTTAAATAGAAAATTATTATTTAAAAAAATTTAATTATACTCTTCTTTATTATGTATACAAATTATTTAATTTTTTTTCGACATTACAAGAATGCAGGCCAATCATAAGTAAACGGTACCATTGATTATAAATTTATAAAGTATTATAGTAAGAATGTAAGAGTATTTAGGTAGGTACTATTTATAGTTTTTATAACCAATGACGGTACCTATTTAGTATTTACATAGTATTTACATAGTATTTTTATTTTTATATTCCCATTCATTCAATTTTATTATTAGTTATTACTTATTAGTTATTATCATTATTATTACTATTTGTATATTAAAGCAAAACAATAATACAAATATTGGAGTAGTAAGTAGTAACTTAGTCGTCAATGAGCCTTTATCGTGAACGTTAGTCGCCGTATTCGTCATTCAAATAATTGTTGTTAAATTTGTATTCCTTATTTTACGATTAAAATAATCATGTCTGGTCAAAAGTGTCAGTATTTTAACTGTGGCAAATCAAAAAGAAATAACCCCGACTTAAGTTTTCATACTTTTCCAAGCGATGAACACTCAATGAAAACTTGGATTATTCATTCGGGTAAGTTATTAATTTATTATATTTATATTCTACAAAAGTGATTGAAATTTACATTTGTAAGTTAAAAATACCAACTATACATTTTAAGTAGGTACTTATAGCACATAAAACTAAATTTTAAAACATAATTTTTAATTTAGGAAATATGGCTTTAGTCAATTTAAGCCCAAAAATACTGCGCAAGAGATATATCTGTAGTGACCACTTTGATAAAAATATGTTTATGCATCCAAATCAAAAAATACGAAAACTAATTCCGAATGCTACACCAATCAAATTTGCTATGAATAACTCCGGAAATTCAAATAAATGTAAGCTTAAATATACCATTGATTATAAATATAGGTACTAGACACTAGTAGTTTAATAAATGATTATACTTTTCATAACCTTATTGATTTGTAACTTAAAATTATTGAAAACATGTTCCAAAAAGGTTCTCCAAAATGTGACAATATTCAAAACGCAAACTTTGAAACACCTATTAAAAGGATGAAACCGATGGAAATCAAAGGACGCATACTGGATTTCGATTCATCAGGTACTACTTATTACAGTTATTATACATTTATCTAACTAAAATTTTTTAACTTTTAATGCTTATAAATAAAGATCGTATACCTATAGAATTTTTATCTTAAATATTTTGTAACTTATTTTATATAAAACTTAAAATAACTGTTTATATTACCATTTTTTCTATACTCCAAGTTAAACATTTTTTTACTATTTTAGAGCTATTTATATACACATAAGAAATTTTATATTTGTAATAGTTATCGAAACACTTGAAAATGTTGGTTCAAACATAATTAACAGGTTAACCGCTATGTGTACCATTTTTGGTAAGTACATGGTTGATTAGCCATTCTTGCTAATCCAAAAAGTAGCGAACATGCCTTATTTGCTACGGACCTAAAACTTTATGAAAAAGTTTGATATTTTTATTTTAGTTTATTATGTGATTAAATAATGTGTTTTTATATCGAAATTAATGATTTTCAATCGTGTACCAAATATGGTACACGTAGCCCCCTGGGAAAGTCAGAACTAAATATAATTCGATAATTAATTATAATTTCGTTACTAAGGTAATATCCTTGAATAGTATCTGTCAATAACACTATTTTTGACCACTCGTTGAGTGCGTTTTCATAACTGATAATGATTTTGTATTATAAATTGTAAAATACGATTGTTGGGAAAAAGTATATTTTTAGACTTGTATACAAATAATACCTATTGAATTGTTATCTTGTTATACATTTTTCTGTTCCTTGATAGTTGTTAGTTATCGTATACGCGCGTACGTGGTCGTTAGTGTTTTATAATATTGCGTGTGTAATAAAAACAAAATGAATCGTAATGAAATTTCTAGTTTATTAGATTTATCTTCAGAAAGTTCGTTTGACGATACTGACGAAGATCCCAACTGGAATGATGAAGATGTGTACAGTAGTTCCGAGGATGAGTCTTCTGCTTCTCCTGTGATGCGTGGAGATGGTAATGATTGGAATAATGTTATAGACGAACAACCAAATTCTAATGTAATTTATAATCCAAATAATGAATGTGTTGGGATAAATGAGGATATTGTTGAAACAATGATTGACTGTAGCCCTTATGATTTTTTTGCATTATTTTTTGATGACGAAGTTTTAAAACTTATAGTACTCGAGACTAATCGGTATGCAAATGATAAAAGAAATTCATGCAATCTATCTCGTAATGCTCGAATAAAAAAGTGGAAAGAAACCGATGTAAAAGAAATTAAAACTTTTTTCGGTTTAGTTATATGGATGGGATTGGATAAAATGCCTACCATAGGCCTTTATTGGAGAAATACAACGTTATTTTCGAGCAACATTCCTCAATATATGTCGAAAACCCGTTTTGAATTACTACTAAGTGTATTACATTTTTCTGATAATAATACAGCTACATCTTATAACCGTTTGTATAAAATTCAACCACTTATTGATTTGCTTGTCTATAAATTTAATGCAGCACTTATACCTAATGATTCAATGTGTATTGATGAGTCAATGGTTCCGTTTTCGGGACGACTGTTATTTAGACAATACAATGCATCTAAAAGACATCGCTATGGTATAAAAATTTTTAAATTGTGCACTACTGATTTTTATACTTCAAAATATAAAATTTATAGTGGAAAAGAAGCTTCCGACAATACTTCAGTTGCTACTAAAGTGGTGTTTGAACTATTATCGGACTACTTAGATTTTGGACGAACTTTATATGCCGATAATTGGTACAACAGTATAGACCTTGCTGAAAAATTATTGGATAGAAATACTCATTTGGTGGGAACTTTACGAAAAAACAGAAAACGGATTCCAAAAGAAATAGTGACAACAAAATTGAAAAGAGGTGAAATGATAGCTAAACAGAATGGCCTTGGTGTAACAGTTCTAAAATGGAAAGATAGAAGAGATGTTCTCATGATTTCAACTAAACATGGTAATTCAATGAACGAAGTTCAAATGAAACGTGGAAAAAAAATAAAATCTAATGTGATTATTGATTATAATTTATAACCGTGGCAAAGGATTGATTGATGTAAGTGATCAGATAGGTGCTTACCACACCTGTTTGCGTAAAGGAGTAAAATGGTATCGTAAAGTAGCCTTTGACATAATATGTAATACAGCAGTAGTAAATGCATTTAGTCTTTACAAAGCAGTCACCAATAACAACAAATCTATTACACAATTTAGAGAAGACATTGCTCTCGACATGGTTAAAAAAAAAGAGGTCAACTCGCAACAAACATCTACAATTATACCACACCATACTTTAGTCAAAGATAAAAAAAGGGCAAGATGCTATGGATGTTACAGGCAATGTTGCCGTGAAGAAGGTAAAACATTAAATTATTGAATATTATTGGGGCGATGTATATTTCTACTATTTTGATTTTATTTTGTTATAGGCACGATCAATGCAAGAAAAAAAGCAAAACGTGTACACACAAAATGTGAAGTATGTGAAAGATATTATTGTCTACAATGCTTTTCAACGAACCATAATATTAAAGTAAAATAATCATTAGTTATATTTCTAATCATAATGTATATTATAAAATGTAATATAATTAAATTATAATTATAATATTATTAGAATACATACATTATTTAAAATTAAAATTGTTTTTTTTATTTTTTTTACCTTAAAAAATGAATTCATAAGATATCTATGGGCTGGTCGAAAATTTGTTTGTCTGGTGGGCTACGAAATATTTTCCTGTGTTAAAATCGTATTTACGTGTACTATAATAGGTACACTTAACACTTTTTGGCAAAGACTCCCGTGTACCACTACTGGCACACAAAAACTTATTGGAAAAACAACAAGTGTACCAAAAATGGTACACGTGGCGCTTTTGGCAATGTACTGAAAAATGACGTAGCAGTTAACCTGTTAAGATAAGTTTATATAGTCATGATTTTTTTTTTTTGTGTGTAGTAACTTTAAAACCAGGCCGTTTGAAATGTTCAAGTTTGACTAAATGTTTGTATACGCATTTTCTATACACCTATACTATAACAGTTATTTTTTATTTTTACAAGAAATATACTACAATATTAATATGTAGGTATCAATTTCTGTACTTGCTAAAATTTTCAAAATATGTTAACTCACTTTGAGGTGTTTACAGACACCCACCAATCCACTTTTTTTTCGAGGAAGGAATAAGGAATGTTTTCTTAAATTTTAGATTCTGAGCGGAGCGAAGAATGTATTGATTTTACTAGTATGTTGCTTTTTTTTTTTTTTGTGTGTCTGTGTACACGATATCTTGTCGAAATTTCGATTTTCAACTTCAGTAGCTTTTCGGGTTTGAAAGTGAATCTAGTTAGTGCATTGGTAGGTCATTTTTTGAAATTCCCATTAGTTTTCGAAAGCACAGGAAAAAAACCAAAAAAAAAATTAACGAAAAACGGGAATTTTTATGCAAAATCAAATTTAAAAAAAATCGATTTTAGATATTGGTGTAACTCTAAAACTAATTACCGTAGAAACATGAAATTTTCACAGAATGTTTATACAAGCATTTTCTATAAATGATAACAATTGATTTCAAATCTTTTTAAGTTATTTATAGACATTTGAAATTTTCAATCTTTTTTATTTTATTTTATAAATGACAATAACATTTTATTTGTTGGATAAAAAAGCTCCAAAATTTGATACAAGACTTCTAATATATTGTTACAATAGTTGTTAAAATACATAGTCACAATTTTTTTTTAATAAGCATTGAAAGTTCGAATTTTGACAAAATACGTAAAAATCACGAAAATTTGCAATTTATTTTAAGTTCGAAATTCATAAAAATTGTTCTTTTCAAATCTAAAGTTTGAAAATTCTATACAAGATTCTTCATAAGTTTGTCTACTTTTATCAAAAAAAAAATTTCTACCGGAATTTCAAATTAAATTTCTATGAGCATTTTGTTGTACCCTGTATATACTAGACACCCTGTATGCGATATGTGCGTTCGCTGGATAACGCAATGGCCTACGTGACTGTGGGAAGTGCGTTGGTCAGCGAATTCGCCGTGCAAGGACCCATACGGTTCCCACGGACGGGGCCGTGTCGGCAGTCGGAGTACGGACTCGAGTTAGACAGAACCTCTATAGTGTAGACA